AGCCACGCCCACAAAATGAGATTCTGGTAACTTTTAGGGGTGTTTTCCGACGAGTACCCTCGTCATTTTCATGAGGGAGTACTCCCCCCCCCCCCGGAGTGCGACTCCATTCTAGGAACTCTGTTAAAAGTGCTTGAAAAGGGGACCCTGTTGTTGTCAACATTCCGTCCCCTTCTTCCCCGGGAGATTTCGCTGACACTAGCCCTACTCTCCAGATATCCCGGACACACTAACCAGCAAGAATTTCTTTATTAATTCCAGCAGGAATTTTGATACCGCTGACCTGCAAAAGCCGACGGAGAACAAATCTAGGGCTGAAAATGAGAACAACGAAAAAGAGGAGGGCTCAAACAGCAGTGACGACAACGGTGAGAGGCATGCTGAAATCGACAGTCACAGTGAAGGCGATGACGACGATTTACTAGAGTCAGTTTTTGAAACGAAGCAGAAACAGACAAAAATTACAGAGGAAATGTGGTCTGGAATAAAAGCAGAGTCGGTGAAACATTTACCTGAGGGAGTTGACGGACTGAGAGTGTTCAAGATACCATCAGAATCTCTTAAAAATGAAGGCAAAAATATTTTTAAAGACGGGAGAAACTGGAAAAAGAATTGCCCAACCGAATGGAAAGGCCACCGTCGTGTCAGGTATGCGGACTGCAAAGGATCTAGCAGATGTTGCAATGCACAATGTCCTTTCATGGTGGAGTTCGGTGTTGTAAATACAACACAGTTTAAGAACATGAAAGACGGTGGCGTAATATGCAGTGCTTGCAATCAGCAATCTGAATATGTTGAATGCCTAGCACGACGTTACATAAGTTATGGCCCCTCGTTCACCAAAATATTTTACTGCGGCAATCATACGTGTCCTGTAATTAAGCCCTTAAGAAAAAACAAGGATCAGGTTAGACAACTTATTAAAGACAACCCCAAGATAAAGCCCTCGGAAATTCAGTCAGCATGTATAATGTCTGCTTTTCGCGAGAAAGCAGACTGGGCAACAGTAGAGAAGGAGGTGGAGGCTACCCTAGATCGACAATGGCTAGCAAATGAAAAGAAGCAAATAAAGCGAGATACCGAGCCTTTCGGTCATGACTTTGAAGCTGTTGTGACATTCAAACAGTACTGTGATAAGAAGGACAATTATTATGTATACAAAATCAACGACCGCAGAGGAAACCCGGACAGACCTTCCTTTGTTTTTAAAATGGGGACTCAAAAAGCTAAAATGGCCATCAACATGGATAAAGATGGTAATCACTTCATGAAGGAAGAGTTTTGTTTTTTTGATGGCAAAAGAAAACGCTGTCGAGGTTTTGTCACTCCCACGGCAAGTGTATATTACGGCTTATTACAAAAACAAGTTCCTCTTGCTGTAATGGAAGCTGAAAAAGAGGACACAACCAACATCGAACTCTTTTGGACACTCTTTAATGAAGTTCTACAAAAAGTTTCCGGTCATAAAGAGTATAAATTTAATCCCCTTGGCTGGTGCACCGACATGGCGAGGGCCAACTTCGCGGCACTAATCACAGTGTTTGGTGAGGAGGCTGCGTCACGTATTAAGTCCTGCGAATTTCACTTTAAGGTCAACGAAACAAAAAAGCACAGAGACTGGACAATGAAAATAGCGGCCGTTTTAAGGAACTGTGTAACCTTCTTCTTACGAGTGAAACCGAAGATGGCTACGCCAAAAGTAAAGCTGCCATGGACGCATTCATCGAAGAGAGTGAGGATTACGCCTTCTTAAAAACATGGGTATCTTGGTGGCACGACAGACGCGGGTTCATTTGTAGAGCTTTCGCCCCAAAAGATGCCCCCGAAATGAACAAAGCAGAAGTAATACATGCTGGGTGGGCACACAGGGATTCACCGAACCTAAGCCTTCTCGACGTCTGTCACGCGGATGTCCGTGACACTCTAGTTTTGGAGAAACAACTAGAATCCTACAAGGAAGGTATCCCGGCACCAGGAAACGGACCCTCCTTCGCTGAACGCAAGCGAAGGCAACATCCCAGGCAGCTTCAAAAAGCCAAAAGAATAGGAAAAGAAATGTTTGAAGACCGTGAAAATGGCCACATGATTGACCCTTCATCTTCTTATCAGCCACCAAGAAACAAGAAACGGAAAGGAAAACAATCAGGAGGTAACCAATCCAAAGGAAAGGTTACTGTGAATTCCGGGCCAGTGGCGTATGGAGACACGCCTAACATGGCCCCGCCTAATATGCCCCTGTCTAATGTGTGCCCACAAAATGTGCCCTCGTGTTTCATGTCTCCTCAGAATGCGCTACCATCTTTTTCGTCTGCACCTAATACATTCCCATCCAGTTTGCCCCTACATAATGCACCTGAATCAAATGTGCCTCAGGCTTATGTGCCCCCATCGAATGTACCCCCGCCTATCTCTGTTCCATCAAACAATAGTGGGCCGTACTGGCAACAAGCTTTCCAAAGTACTTTCCCTTGTTTTACCCACTGGCCAAGCTCACCCGCGGTCAATGCTCCCCAATCCAACCCTTACCCTCCATCGAGTGCTACACCTCACTATAGCAACCAGTGGCATTCCGGCTTGTCTCCTAATCCATATGAGATTGTTTTGCTACCCTCCAACGTTCAAAAATGCTACGGTTGCGGAGCAGCATTTGCCGAGAAGTCCAGGAGTGCTCCTTATAATATTTGCATTAAACATGTGGATAAGAGGGTGATAGGAAAGAATGCTGATGGGCGTTTGGTTTATAGCACGGATTTAACGAACACTTACTATCACCCCAGCATATCTCACATCAAGCGAAAAAATTCTTTATTCACAGGTCAAGTTTACATAGGAAGAGAACTTTACAACTCTCTGGATGCCAGTCACCGCCAAGTATTAGATTCTTTTCAATTTAATGTAACATTAAAATAGTTTACCTCATTTTCTCTTCGGTGTTTTGACCTTTCTGTTGGTAGACACTCTTTTGGAGGAATGATTGCGTGACAAGCCAGTCACGTCACGTTTAAGTAACATTGTTTTATTACGGGGTGAATTATGATCAATACTAATGTTAGTATTAAGCGATCATCTTTTTTATTTTTTAAAAATTATTCTGGGGGACACGATTCACGGGATATAACAAAACAGGAAAAAACTGTATAAGTGGGACAAGAAAACATGTTGTTGTTGGTTTAAAATAAAATTAAGTTTCTATCAAGAGCTGTAATGACTACTCACGATTTACACATCTGTATCTGTGTCCCGGGGGGGTACTCCCATACATTGCCTATACGGGTATGTGCCGCCCAACGGGGTCGTGATTTTGAACTTCCTGATTTAGAACGGGGTATCCATTTCAGAGGCGTTTTCTAGAACGGGGTATGATATTTCGAACGCAAGGAAGCTCCAGTTTTATAAGCAGCCATTTGAAATTATTCAAGGACATATTGCTTTCAAACTTTCTAGAACGGAGTCTAAAGAACTGCAACTATAAACTGCAAAGGGCCACCAACAATAGAGCTACTAGGAATTTCTAGAAAGGGGTGTTAGTTTTAGGGCGAATTCCAGAACGAAGTATCAATTTTAGGGCAATCTTTTTTTTAGAACGGGGTGCCAATTTGGAGTCCCGGGCGGCACATACCCACCCAAAAAATACCCAAGTGCCCCCTCCCCCCCACGGGATCTGTGTATAGCTTTCTGTAAATTACATTTTGAAGCCAAGTGATGGTTAAATACGCTATTCGTATAAATCCTTGATGAATAAATCAGTTTTCACCTAAAGTGCGACGTATATGCCCTCTTCCGCGAAATCGTTATGTACTACTAAGATTTTAAGGCTTGTTTTGGAGAAATTTATAATGTACACGGTTTTAAAATACGCTGCTCTAGTTACCTCGTTGAACATTTGGTCCCTTAAATTAATTTTCTAGTTATTGACGAATAAGCCCGGCCATGTCTGACAGGATGTCTGGCTAAAAGTAGCACCATTATTTACGTAGGCACAAAGACTGCTGTTTGTTGCAAATCAACACTATGAAGTATAGATAAGACACGTCAATGCGTCTAGACTATATTGTCTAGACTGATAAAGCTCTTTTGCTGTGTGGTTTTTATTTTTTTATTTTATTTTTTTTATTTTTATTTTTATGATTTTATTTTCATTTTTAAGAACCCTCGACATATTACCCTCGACCCTTGACATATTACCCTCGACTTTGTACCCTCGACCCTCGAACCTCGACCAAAACCCAAACTCTCACTATTCACTATTCATGTTCGGCGTTAATCCCAAGTTAATTTCTTAAGTTTGGTTTCAAGCCACCGGCGTATAGGGACTGATATGTAAGTTGTATTCGCTTGCTTTCACTTTTGTAGCTTGCCCCATTTATGCAAGGTAGCGTTTCTCTTGCTATGATCTTATGCCTTTGTGTGTGTTATTTAGTCACCGCCTTCGTATCGTTAGGCGGCTATTTTTAGTTATAATTTTCCTTCATCTCGTTTCGAGCAAGCTCTTTCGTCTTTATTTTGTATATATATTTTGTGTTTGCCGTGGCACTTGGTTCATTTATTAGTTCCTTTATTATGCGAGATTCATTTACGCTGTTAAGTCGCCACGTGTTTAATTCCAAAGAGCAACTTTTCCGATGCCATCCGATCATCTACTAAGTTTAGTTACAAAGTGCTACAGCTTATTTTATTACAAAGTGCAATGGTCTGTCATTAACCTGTGAGTATATTCGAAAGCCTTGGACTCTCTACATTGATTCATTTCTTTCGAGCAGTTTATGCTGAAAACTTTCAAGTGACAATGTCAACGGGCAGGAGAAGACGATCAAGAAATATGAAACGTTATTTCGTACTGCTACGATAACGTGATCTTCTAAGAGTACCGTGTCCCAATATCCAGCGAGTCAAAGAACTAGAATTGCTGTAGATTCAATCCAAGCACTGCCATTAAATGTTGTTCCTTCAAATTCGCAAACAGTTGAGGGTGAAATAGTTCCTGAAACTTTTACGAAGACCTTGATGGAAATGATGCTGATGAACAAGTATTTAATGAATATACTGAAACCAGTAGTTTTCTGCCTCAGCCTGAGAATGTAGAGTTAGAGCAAGATCCTATTAAAAAACAATTGACCTTTCAAAATAAATTAGATTGGCCATCCATAGGAAATGTACCTGGAGATACACAACACCATTTCTTGCTACTATGGATTCCTACACTATTTCCAGATGGTAAGGGTGATCCAAACAAACCCAACTTTATTGAGAGATGTCCCTTTGCCTGGTAGAGTGCAATAACTTACAAAGTTTGCTCAATATATTGATAATAAGTGGGTTTAAAGGTTTGCTACTCATCCTAAGTTTTGGGCCTTAAATATGATAGAGACAGAGAATTCTACAGCAAAGTATTGTTTTTCTTAAGCAAAATCCTGGAGAGTCTCATCTTACCCCTGATGAATTGAGCGATATGGTTGATACCCATTGTTTTTATATATTTATGTCAAAACTTTGAAGGTATTTAGGTAATATAAGAGGAAGTTCTGCATATTGGCATAAAGTAAGAGAGGACTTGAAGGCAATAATTGCTTATAAAGAGGCCCCAACAAGTTTTTTTTTGCATTTTCCTCAGCTAATATGCATTGGCCAGATTTGCACTCCCTTTTTAGTTAGCAACCAAACTCTCTTAACGCTGAAGAAAGAAGGCTGAATTCAGGGACAAAAAAAGCACCTTGGTACATCACTTAACTCCACGAAACTACACTCCAGGAAAACATAATCAATTTGACTAAACATTGGTCGAAAAATAATTGGGGTAAATCCAACAGCAGTTTTTAGAGCGTTTTCAAAACACCTTATATATCAATTGGAAATACAAACACGAGCCTTTAAACTCAAACTATCCCTCGTTTAAAGACGCCTTTTTGAGTCTGCTGGCATATTTTGTTTAAAGGAAGTTAAAATGGAATTCCACCTGAGATCTGGAGGCATGGAGGTCCTTCACTACACCGCAAGCTCCATGAACTCCTCATCTACTGCTGGGAACAGGGCAAGCTACTGCAAGATCTTCGAGACACAGTCCTCATCACCCTGTGCAAGAACAAGGGAGAAAGATCTGACTGTTCCAACTATTGGGGGATCACCCTTCTGTCCTTTGCTGGTAAAGTCCTTGCCAGAATACTGCTCAACAGGCTTGTACCATCCATCATCGAAGAACATCTCCCATAGAATCAATGTGGTTTCAGAGCCAACAGAGGCACAATGGACATGGTGTTCATTCTCCGTCAACTCCAGAAGAAGTGCCGTGAACAAAACAAGGGTCTGTATGCAACATTTTTTGCCCTGACACAGTCAACAGGAAAGGTCCATGGCGGATTCTTAGGCGTCTTGGCTGTCCCGGAAAATTCCCCAACATGGTGCTTCAACTGCACGAAGACCAACGCAGCTAAATCAGACTCCACAGAGACCCGTCAGAGCCCTTACCCATATCCAATAGTGTGAAGCAGGGTTGTGTCCCGGCGCCAACCCTCTTCAGCATCTTTTTCAGCATGATGCTTAAGCACGCCTCTCAAGACCTGGATGATGAGGATTGCGTCTACGTCAGTACCACCTGGACGGCAGTCTGTTCAATCTATGGCGCCCGCACGCCCACACCAAGACCCAGGAAAAGCAGACCCCAGATGACGCTGCCCTTGTTGCCCACACAGAACGAGCTCTGTAGCAAATCAAAACCTCCTTTGCAGATGCTGCTCAGCTCTCTGGCCTTGAGGTTAGCCTCAAGAAGACAGAGGTCCTTCACCAGCCCATGCCCCAGGAAGAATACCACCCGCCCACCATCACCTTCGGCAACACAGAGCTGAAATCAGTTCAGCAATTCACCTTCCTGAGCTGCACCATCTCATCCGATGCCATGATCGACAAGGAAATTGACAACAGACTGGCAAAGGCGAACACTACCTTTGGTAGACTCTACGAGAATGTGTGGAACAAAAAGAGCTTGAAAAGAAAGACCAGATCAGCGTTTACAGAGCTGTTGCACTCACTACTCTCCTCTATGGCTCTGAGGCCTGGATCACATATCGCAGCCACATCGAAATCCTCGCGTGTTTCCATTGTTGTATACGGCGTCTCCATAGGAAACAAAGGGATGCCGCCATCAATTAGCATAAAGAACAAAGGATTCAAGATGGCGTCTAAGTCCCTTAGGGAGGATTCCAGATGGCGGCGGTGACGTCATCGAACATGACATCATTCAAGATGGCGGTTTAATATATCCATAACGTGTAGGTGTATGAGGGAAAGCACACTCCAACATCCGTCAGAAGGAGGTCATCTCGGGTAGATTTCCGATTACGAAATCCGAGCTCGCCCGATGTTGTCTGCGTGATGAAAACACTATTTAGCAAATTAGACCTGCAAAACAGAGTAGAAACGAACACGTGCTTCGTTTTCGCTCGTAAGCTCATAAGCTCGTAAGATATTACTTTTTTTTTTCGTTGCTTACCTTTATTACAGACTCCACAAAATTTTTGCGATGCCTCCTTTTCACGGATGGCCGATTACAACCACAACATAGTAACACCTCCACGAAATCTGTCAAAATGAGGATTTTAAAACACCGGAAATGGAGAGGAAAGATAAATGATACGGTCGATTAACTCCCAGACAATTGAATGGTCCAAACTCGCAAAGGCGGGAAATTTGTTATCATGCGAGATATCAAAGCATCTGTTTGCTCACTCAATTCGTATTCAGCGTTCGGCCGTATTCCAATTGATAATTTCGCTTTCTGAACAAAATTTCCAATTCTATGATGGCACGGAAATTAACTTCGCAAGAAGTGAGTTCATTGTTAAAGAGAAAGTTGTCTGAAAGGTCAGGTTTGGTGAAGGATGTCAGGTCAGCAGAGTTCATTCTTCGAGAATATGAAACTGCCACCGTCACCAAATTCTGTTGTAGCAAGTCAACTGACAAAGGTTTTGGAAACACAGGTGAGAGGCCAATCTTCTTGTCATATGCGATTGCATTTTTTCCGTTATGTAATATCCTGGGCTTGATGTTTCTTGGAAGACATTTGAATAAAGTAGGGGGATTTGATCTAAAGGCACTTAGGGGGGATGGTGAGCGGTAGATGAGAGTTGACTGTAAGAACGATATCTCACTTATTTGACGGGCCCTATGCATGCTCGTAAGTGACAGGTAACTAGGTATCATTACCGATGTCATGATCCTTTTTGACACATTATCGTCTAAAGGAAGGGTGACAAGTTGACTATGCTTCTCAAATTTGTAAAAATTTGTTTTGTAACATAGACTTGGCAGCTAAAAAACACAGGGTATTATGGGAGGATAGTTGTCTGCCATTTGATCACGTCCCATTTGTCGTCGTAAATCACAAGATATACGATTGTCAACATGGTGTAGATAGACATCTAAGCAAGAAAAGGAAAAACCAAGCGGTACGTTGAAAGTATTTGTATTTAAATGATTTTGCAGATTTTTTATTTTGCGTTGATTAATAACTAAAGGTCAAGATCAAGTAGCTTTGAGTTTCCTCCTCCTTGCTTAAAGATAAGAGAGTAAATGATCTGAAAAGAGGACTCGATAGGATAGGATATTTCAATGTCCAACATGGAAGAAAGTTTCAGTGGAAACGTGGTGTTATATCGCTGCTTCAAAAGTTTTCATTAACAAGAAGACTCCTTTTTCCAAAAACATAGGCCGGTGACCACGCCTATCGAAGAAATGGAGCTGGTAAGCTTTTATAAGAATCAAGAAAACTCAAGGTAAGTCGGAATAAAGAAATTGCAAAATGTAATTAAAACAAGGAAAACGCCGACCTATAAATGACATCACAAAAACGTCAATTTGTGTTCCTCCTTTTGACCTCTAGATCTCGCAAAAGATGGAGTGGCGCTGTAAGAGTCATTCCAAAAAGCTGCACAACGCCATAGATGCTGGAACGGCAAAAACTGAAAGGTGGATTAACATCCATTTTCCCTCAGTCGATGAACACACCGTGCACCCAACTGGAGAAGTTAGCTCTTACAATTAAATACCCAGTTACCGTCGTCACAGTTTTTGTTGCGGGCTACGTAACTGGTCCTTCTCATAGAAATGAGTGGGTCAAAAACCGCATTTAGTCGTGTACGTAAGAATTATTTTTCGATTTTCTTAATCTCATTATTTACTTTTTTTACGCTTGATTTCTGATTCATTCATTTCTTTGTTAATTTTGAATTTAGGCAGGAGGTCTGTTTCAGCGCATAGATGAGAGGCTCGTGGCAAAAATACAAGAACTCGTATGTGCAAGAGCAAGATCAGAGAAAGAGATACGCCGACATTTAAAGATCTTAGTGCAAAGAGAATTATATCGAGGGAAAAAAGCGCCATTGAAGACCAACAGACGCTTTTATCCCTCCAAAGTTACGATTAGAAGTCACATGTATATGGTGGCCCATTGTTATCATAGCAAAACCAGCTGGAGATGCTTCCTTAATTTAAAAAGAAAGAATAAAGCATACGGATGTGATAAAAAAATTAAAAAGAAAGAACTAAAATTAAAAAATAATAATATAATAAAATAATTGGCCAAAAATATTAAAAATAAAAATTAATGACCTATTTAAACAAAAAAAAGAATAAATAAAAAGAAGCATAAAAATATAATAAAAAAATAAAAGTAAAATAAAAAAAAAATAAAAGTAAAAGCAATCCAAAAAAAAATTGAATTTAAAATAAAACATTAAAGAAAACAGGAGCTACTGAAGAAATTCAATAAAAAAAAGTAAAGGAAGATTAAAAATTAAAAAATACATAAAAGTTAAAATTAAAGTGAAAAATAATTTAAAAAATAAATAAGATAAAAACCTTTAGTACAAATGCAAAATAATTTTAAGTTTATTACGATAATGCTAGGCCGAAAGGAACATCACGATATTTGTTTCCAAAATGAAATGTTCGAAAGCAGCCCATTGTTATCATAGCCAGCGACAGGTAAGGTCAGTGGACTCCTTTCAGAAGGACGGCTCGCATTTCCTGATTGGTAACTTGTGCACGTGTGGGTTGTGGCTTGCACTTTTCTCGTTCAAACTACAGTAAAAAGTCCTTTTATCGAGAAGAATAGACGACAACAAACGTGGAACCGTTTGCAAGATGAAATGAAGGCGAAGAGGAAGCGACCGGACCCTCGCGGAAAAGGCAAAAGCAAGAAATCTGGTTCCGCTCCGCACGAGTTAATCGTGCAACGTTTAGCATCTGAGCCAGACAACAAACAAACGTTAAGGCCAGTCCAACCAAGAGAGTTTGTGGCGTTTCCTTACGAGGATCTTACGCTAGCAAACTTGAAGAAGGCTCTCGCTAACCATTACAGTTTGCCAGCAAGCCTATGTGATGTTCTTGTCACAAACAAGGGACCCTCTTGTACCAGCATGGAACAGATCCCTCATAGAAAGGACAAGGTGAGTTCGTGTACGAAGCATTTAAGCTTAGGTAAATAAACAATAGCGCAAAAATATTCTCGGGTAAAACTAGAGGAAAACTGTACTAAAGGACCAATGTCCGACTATATTCGCGCCTGACAAGGCCTCTCACCTTGAGACTTTTGAAAACTATTTAACATGTAAGAAACTCTGTTGGCTTTCAAAATAGTTCCATTCCGTTTAAGATATTCAGCTTTATTCAGTTCAACAATTTACTTGGGATAAAAACTAAACGTGCACGCATATAAAGGTCGGCACAGACAAGGGGACTAGTCACAGGGACTTGCTTTGGGAACCAGTCCTCTAGTGTATACCCGTATTTTGCATCAAACTTCTAGCCGCAGGGACCACATTTTTGGTCCCTACGACTAGTCCCATGAATTAAGCTGGTTTGATTTCTGGGACTAGTCGCAGGGACCAATAGTCCCACAAATTGGTCAATTTTCTAGTGTGCACACTAAGTCCCTGCTACTAGTCCTCTAGTGTGTTCCTAGCTTAAAGGGGTACATTCTTGAATATTTCCCAGTTTTAGCTGGTACATATTCAGTCACATGACACGTTTAGACCTATCGCATGTACAAAAAAATAATTTGTTAATAAGTTAAAGAGGGTCATTCCATTTAAAATAAATTTAGCCTGAGACCATACCCGCTTCCCACTAGAGTCAACTCTCACCTTGCGGACACCCCGCTATTAGGGACCGGTCATTATTTAGACGGGGGGGGCTGGTGCAAAATTAGGTATGCCATGTTTCATTTTTCCTGACCCCACTTCATGAAGCACATTTTTTCTGACCCCCCCCATAGATATACAATCGCGCGTACACACACACTTTTAGTACACCAACACATATAACTTTCTATTGGTACTTATTAAATGCATTATTCAGTACCTTTTTTCTGATTCTGAACTGAGTAGCCCCTCCTAGAACCATTGAATACTTGCATAAATTTATATGCCCCCCCTTTTGTCCCTGCATAAAAATCGATGACCCACCCCTATTTGCACCAGCCCCCCTCTCTAAATAATGACCGGTCCCTTACGAACAAAATTCAGATCCCCTCCAAAAGAGATTGGACTAGGAATGACTCCTGGTATTACTGACTCTCACTATCACGGTCACTAAACGACGTCCCGAGGGTGTCTGTTGTAATGAGAGTTGACTGTATCTCTATATGTTTCTTTTGGGAAGAGGGCATGATATATTGACTTGTCACCATGTAAAAAAAAAACAACAAATATAAGTTAGGTTGACATCAGGTTTTCTGTTCTTCACACAGGATTCAAATTCTTGAAGAGTTTGAATGAGAGGTCTGAACAAACTCTCCTTGGCTTAAGTTTTGAAAAATGTCAGTTATGACACTGTCAATACCCTCAGTCCTCCTCATGTTATTCCAAGTTTGTTGAAACTGTAATATTACCTTTGAAATACATTTATTTAGACAGCGAATACCGGGTACATAAACTCTTTAGCTTAAATGTAAAAAAATTGCCAACAGGAAGGTAAAGGTCACTGATGTTTGGCAGTTTTGGGGCCTTGATGATAAGAATTTTCACATTTTATATTGTTATAATAACATTATCAACTAGTTAACAGTGATAGTAGCATGAATTTCATATGTTAAATATGATGATAACTCCTCATTCCAAAGAACAACTGGTGCATCATCAGCACCAGTGAGAAAGGCAGCTGCGCCAAAACCAAAAGCAGATTATGGAAGGTTCTCAGTGACAACCCAGTTTCCTCCATCCGTATCCATTGCCTCATTGCTGGATGCTGGGAAGCTCATCAAACCAGTCACCAAAAACAAGTGTCTCCTAACCTTTGAACAATTTGACATTGCCTCCAAAGAATGGACAGATGCAATGGAGGTAGAGTGTATAGTAGATTCAGAGAAGTTTTCCTCAGGTGGATTCCGTGATGCTTACCACTGCAAGCTAACTGGCAAATCTGCGGGCCAAAACATTTCAAATCGCTGGGTTATCAAAACGTACAACGAGAAGTCCAAAGAAGTAATTAGTACTCAATTAAAAACTAAT